ATACTTGATCTGCATGTATAACTGTATATCGTTCATGACATTCAGAAGTGATGACCCCATTTGTAGCTGTGGCCAGGTCTTTCCAGGTCCCTCTTCTGTGTCTCCCTATGCCCAATTTGTTAGTGTTCCCCACAGTAAAAGTGTTCCTGTCCCCAAAGTCTAGCTCGTAGAACCTTTGGAACATTTCCCAGAGCAGCGCTCTGTCGCTCTGTCTCCTGTGGGCAACACTCGGGTAAGTGAACTTCAGTTAAGTTTGGGATCACGGAGGCCATGGCATTGTACACACCCTTGTATAGCAGTTTGGCTATTGGGACTAAAACTAAGCCATTCCCTGGTCCCTTGGTGGTGGGGGTACACCTAGCTATATCCAGTTCTACCATCGAGTCAGTGGGCTGGGGCTTCCTGGGGGTGCGGCGAGCTCAGTGGCAGGAGTCCATCCTCTGATCCGACCTGCTCCTGTCCCTGGCATCTTGCCATTGCCTGCTAAAGGACAGATCATCTCTGACTCCCACATAAGCACATAACACCCCCTGTTCAGATCCCCACTATTTATCCCAGCAGACGCTCACAGCTCCATGAGTCCCCATGATTGTCCGGTAGGTATTGTTGTCCAGTCGCTCCCAGTCAGCTATCTGGTCCCCTGTGTCCTTGCTCCATTTCCGAGGCTGCCACCAGCTACCCAGTGGAATGTGCCCCTTACAACTGAGGCATACCTGTTTTCCCTCTGTCACCCTAACCCAGGAAGCAATGATCTTGAGTGTCAGGCATGGGATGGATGCCTCCCCACAGGTGAACGTGGCATGACTGGAGTATCAAGTCCAGTCACGCCAGGACACCTTCCCTGGTGGATGTAGGGGATGGTCCCCTCCACACCCGGTGTGCTGCTTCCAAGCACGTGTAGACAAGGGACTCCACAGTATTGCCCCTGCGACTGATACTGGCCCCGACTAGAGCAATAAGCACCAATACCTCGTCCATTTTAACTGTCCTTCCCTTGAAAATACACAACACAGAACATAGCCCTGCCCTTCAGCTGTTCTCAGGCTTGGCCCCATATTAAAACAATCCAACATCTTACAGCTTACACAAATTTTATCCCTAAACTCTATAAGTGAACTATATACACTCAAAACTGTACAATACCACCCATCTCCAGGTAGCCAATGTAGATCCTGATGGTTCTGTGCCTCCTGCGGCCTCTGGTTAGCCAGTACACTGGGGACCACGGTGTCCTCAGGTTTGGAGCCCGGGGAGTTCTCCTCAGCACTCCCGTCTTTCTGACTGGGGAACCTCCCAAGTCCTAAACTATGAGTGGGCTGATCTGGCCCAGGAGGGCTTTTGCTAACCCTGGGCATTCGGCAACTGTGCGTTCCCCTGAGGGGTCCAGGGACTGCTCTCTGGGGCTGTTGTCTGATCTGTGACCTGTGGGACTGTTACTTCCCTGGGGGTCCATGGAACTTCCTGAATCTCAAACTATGGGTGGGCTAACCTGACCTGTGAGGCAGTTCATCTGCACAGGCCCAGTGGCCTGTGGGACTGGGGCTTCCCCTGAGGTGGCTTCCCACCATCCAGGGCCACTGCCTGATTGCCTGCCCCCTTATTGTGACCCACAGCACCTAGCTGCCTCGATATTTTGTGCAGGTTCTCTAGCTATTTACCCCTAGCCAGCATTCCCAGAAGAGAGTTAAGGATTGGATCCTGCATCTGGGACCAATGCTACCCTTGCATCCTCCACCCCTTTGTATCCCCCCATCCCTGGCTGCTGCTGTCAGGCCTGAGCCTGGGCCAATGTGCCAGCCTGGTGGTTGTTCACAATGTGGGGTCCAGTCTTTCCTCTCTCCCCCACCTACACAGTCATCCCCAGGAATCTCCCTTCCTTGCACTAGCTCTTGCACTAGCCACTGTGGTTACTGTCCCTGATCCTGTGTGTGTGGCCTGGAGCGTATCTGACAACCCCTGAAAGGAGTTAGGGAAGCCCTGTGCTGCTGGATCCAGTTCCTTCCTCTGTGGGTTGGAGCAATCCTTCCACCAGTGCCCACTCCTTCCGCACCCAAAGCATCACATTTCTTATCAGGAGGGCTACCTCCCCCAGGTACTGTTCTTTCTTACTCTGGATGGGGTTTAGCTCATGTACCCTACCTTTGGGTGGCCCCACCCCCCACCCTGGATGTGCTTCAACACTACGGACAGCTGCCTCACCACCATCCCCTCGGTGGTCTGGATGTCTTTGGAGTCGAACCAAGGCTTGGTATTGATCTGCAACCTCAGTAGGCTGTTGGCCTATGCAGAGCCAACAGGTCCAGTCATTCCCCCGAGGTTATCCCGGTCGAGTTACCCTACAAGGTCACTCAGGCCACAGCACTCTGGTGCGGCCGCACTTGGGGTATTGCGTACAGTTCTGGTCACCGCATTATAGGAAGGATGTGGAAGCATTGGAAAGGGTGCAGAGGAGATTTACCAGGATGTTGCCTGGTATGGAGGGAAGGTCTTATGAGGAAAGGCTGAGGGTCTTGAGGCTGTTTTCGTTAGAGAGAAGAAGGTTAAGAGGTGACTTGATAGAGACATACAAAATGATCAGAGGGTTAGATAGGGTGGACAGTGGGAGCCTTTTTCCTCGGATGGTGATGGCTAGCACGAGGGGACATAGCTTTAAATTGAGGGGTGATAGATATAGGACAGATGTCAGCGATAGGTTCTTTACTCAGAGAGTAGTAAGGGCGTGGAATGCCCTGCCTGCAAAAATAGTAGACTCGCCAACTTTAAGGGCATTTAAATGGTCATTGGATAAACATATGGATGATAATGGAATAGTTTAGGTTAGATGGTCTTCAGATTGGTTTCACAGGTCGGCGCAACATCGAGGGCCGAAGGGCCTGTACTGCGCTGTAATGTTCTATGTTCTATAATGCCTGCAGGGCTTCCCCTGTGATCTGTAGGGTATTTTCTACTCGAGAGAATGGGCATCCATCATTGAAGCCCATAGCTTCCGGGATCTCTTCGTGGTTAGCGGCAAATGTACTCCGTTCCTTTTTGCTGTCAGCCAAAAGGGCCTCATACAGCCTGCTGTCCAGGGAGGACAGCAGCAACTTGGCCATTTTGGCATCATCACATCATTTATTTCTCCTGTCTGTTCCACTTCGATGAAGTGTACACGTGGGTCCCCTTTATATGTTAGCTTGTGCAGGTGTGCTACCATAGACCTGAGCTGCTGGGTTCCGTGTGGAGACACAAAGCCACTCTCTAGATCCTCCTGCCCCTGACCATCCCGGAGCATGCTGTACTGCGCATGTAGCCTCAACCCTTCCCGTACTGGCCCTGCACCCTCACCTATCTGCTGTTGGACCAGGCCTGCTCCCAGTGCCACAGGTACTGATCATCCTCCACCTGCTGCCAAACCGGGCCTGCTTCCAGAGTCACAGGTGGCAATCCAGAGCTTCCTCCTGCCCTGCAGTCTTCCTGCTCCTCCTGCTGCCACATCGGGCCTGGGAATAGCTGCTGGGGTGTCACTCTCAGAGAGATAGCTGTTTGGGATCCCTCTTCTAGAGATAGCTGTGGCGGTCACTGTTTAGGTGATGTTGGGGCCTGCAGTTATACTAATTGCGGGCCTCTTATCTTCATGCCAAATCTATGCTTACCATTGTGTTACTGGTGTTCCCTTTGAGGTGAGTTGGCTTCCTGACAATTAAGAGTATGTGTAAATATATTTTGATTGAAGTTGAATGCCTGACATCTCTCTGAATGAATAGTGATTGAAGTTGAATGTCTGATATCTGTATAGGTTCCATGATGTCTGGGTTCAAGTAGCCCGAGGTGTAAAAGTTCAGTCTAGAGTGTTAGCTCTGGTTAATTGTTCTCTTAGAGTTGAGATGTGAATTGGATTTTTGGGCTGAACAATGGTTCCAGACAGCCATCTCCGTGTCTGTGTATTTTTCCCAGAGTTCAGCCCAACTGCCAGTCTTTTCTTTTAAAAGTTTTGAAAAGTCCAGAGTTTTGGTTCCAGGTTTTAGACAAAGGGGATTTTTGCTCAGTCCCACTGCTTAGATCTTGGAATAGAATAAAATTTCAAAATTTGCCTGCAAGATGTACTGCAACAATTCAGCAAGGATCCTTAGCACCTTCTCTCCAACTTCTACCATCTAGAAGGACAAAGGCAGGAGATACATGGGAACACCACCACCTGAAAGGTTCCTCTCCAAGCCACACACTATTCTGACTTGGATCTATATTACCATTCCTTCACTGTTGCTGGATCTAAATCCTGGAACTACTTCACCACCAACTCTGGAAATCCCAACAGCAAATGAGCAGCAGTGGTACAAGAACGCAGCTTGTTACTAACTTCTAAAGGGATGGCATATCAATTCTGACGTGGCCTGCAATGCCCACAACACCTGCCCTAAACCTGACCTTTAGGATTTACTAAATGCATTGAAGTTAATTTAGCTTCTAGCTCCCTTTGGACTGCCATTACTAGAAGCTTTGCAGACATCATATCTTCAGCTATAGAAGGTCACCTGCTGTTTATAACTCCATCTCTTCTTTTTGGGTTCTACTGAACAAACATGGTTAGGCTTCTGAACTGCCACTTGATATTAGGTGTTCTGATAATCAATAAAACCCAAGATTTTAATTACCTTATCTAGCTAATACACATTTCAATAGAAATATTGTTAAAAGTCCCTGTTTTTTATCGGACAAAGATTTACAGCCAGTATGTTTTGATTCATAAAACAATTAGATACGATGTGCTTGCATATATGTGTCAATCTGCTGTTTTGCTGATTGAACTATAGTGACCAGGGATGTGCTAAATAGATCTCAATATCTCCTTGTAAAAATATAAACACAGTGCTTTGATTAGAGGTGCACAACAAATTGTATAAATAAGGCTGTTCATTATTAAGAGGCCTGCAGTATGCCTTAAAGCAAAAATGAACTGCATTCAGATCCCTTATGATAATTTCATACTTTTTAACTTCATATTTGATATGTTTTAACAGGCCTAATTGTTCATGAAGGAGCCGCAATATATCGAGTATTTAAACGCTGGAGAGCTGTAAATCTACACTGGACTGTTTTAAATTATGACAAATCAAAGGATTTAGGAATTAACGGCAGCAATGCTGAAAGATCTGCCAATCAGACCCTTTGGGCCTCTCTGAATCAATTCAGAACACGAAGGTCTGTTGGTTCTACTCAGCTAATGTTTGAAGGATTTCACTGCAGCTACACATTGTTACATTTACTGACACGATTCAGACCAAATGATGAGGACTATGATGACAACAGTTCCACTGAGGTGGTAATGAGGGTAACAACAGTATGAACATGGATTCCTCACAGTCCTACAATTAGGCAATGATTGTTCCTGGATTTGTGCTATAAGATCAAAGAAGTATACAGGGTAAATAAATGTAATATATTTAACATACTTTTATAAAATACACTTTTGATATGGTGCTTACTTCTTACTGTAATATATATTTTTTAAACCATTAGATGCCAGTTTATTTTTGTTTGTAGATCAACGGGATTTACAGACATTTTTCGTGGTGTACAGCTATTAATGGCTTTCAAAAATAAAACACATTGCCAAAATACCTTACGTAAAATTAATGTATTTTAATCCATCCTTCAAAATCCAAACATATTACTTTGAAAAAATTCCACAAAGTTTCTTTCAAAATTATAGTTGAACAAAAATAACGACCCGTTAGTGAGCAGTAAAAAACGTAGTGAAATTGAAATGGGTTGTTTCCCAAGCACTATTATTTAAATTTGGTGAATCTTGTACTCGTTATGTAGAGTCAATGTTATTAGCTTTATTGTCACATGTACTTACATGAGTACAGTGAAAAGTTTACAAATCGCCATGTACAGCATTCTTAAGAACCAAGGCACCTAGGTATACAGTGGAGGAGTAGCGGAGGAGGTTAGAAATGTTAGAAAGTGTCCTGCTTTGTCCAATGCAGTCTTGGCATCAAATGTTCCTATTCCCAGGTGAGGCAGGGAGGGTTAGGGTTAGATGCAGGATAAATCCACTCTATGTAGACTTAACAATTTGCCTTAACCCTGATTTTAGTGCAGTTTGTGACATTTGCATTTCACCAAACATCCTTTATACCTTTTTTTCAGTAAGATGAACAATTTAATGTGGTGATCAAAGTGAAATTATGAGACATTAGACATGGTAAACTGGAATCTAGCCAGAGTTGGAAATGAAACAGTCCCAAGTTAGTTTACACAATTTTTTTTCTGAGTTGTTATCTGGGTTATATTCAATCCAGACCCAGTGGTTAAAGGGTAGTTGCTAATCGATTGTACTCTCCTTAGCAGAAGAGTTTTGTGCAGGTTATCTGAACCCAGAGCTTGTATAAAATCCTTCTGCCAAATCAGTTATAGAAATAGTTCTTTTAATCAGAAGAGCCTATAATGAGTATTATATATAAGCCTGGATGCCTTAACCAGTATTAACAACTGTCTCAAATCCTTGTAGAATGACATCAGATAGTGCATATAAAATGCCTTCTTATTGTATGCAAGTGCATTATACTGATCATGTGACTGGAACAAAAGGTAAAGTTATTTTATGCTTTGAAATACTAGGTGTACTTATACATTTGTGTACATTATAATGTAACATTTTATCCACTCAATAAATAAAGATGACAGCTTGGATGCTGCAATGCCATTGATACATCCATCTATTGTTTAATTTAATAAAATGCTAAATCTTTAGACAATGACTTATGTTATTCATTCAGGTTTGTGTAATGTTGGAAAAATATTTGTGAACAGTTGAGATTTTGATCTCTGTGATGTTGTAGGAATTCACAGCACGCAACTGCCAGGCATTGACCATCTCCACCAGAGAAGATCCCATCTGGTTCACTAAAGTCCTTTAGGGAAGGTAACTGCCATCCTTACTTGGTCTGGCCTACACGTGACTCCAGACCCACAGCAATGTGGTTGACTCTCGACTGCCTTCTGGACAAGTAGGGATGGGTAATGAATGCCAGCCAGCGATGCCTACATCTTCTGAATGAATAAAAAAAAACCTATTGTTCCTTGGCTTGCCATTTTATTCTGTCTGCGTTGCTATAAACAATATCAACATCCCCTCATTAGCCACATTTCCCATGCTATTGGCAAATTTCATACTGCTACTAAACATACCTTCCTGCAAAAGGACTATATGGTGAGATACAGATGTCTGAAATGATGGACTAACCAAAACAAGCCAAGAATCAGGGAAAAATTGAAGAATGAACTCATTGTGTGCTAAGATATGGCTCAACCTAGCACAATTATACTTTCCTGATGTGTTTTATGCTTTAGTGTCACAAAGGCATGGAGAATGAAACAGGAACTGATTAACTCTGACACCTCATTGAATTATGCAATCCTTACAGTGTGGAAACATGGCAATAGGCCCAACAAGTCCACATTACCCCTCCAAAGAGCATCCCACCCAGACCCATTCCCCTACCCTTTACCCTGTAACCCTGCATTTCTCATGGCCAGTCCACCTAACCTGCACATCTTTGGACTGTGGGAGGAAACTGAAGACCCGGCCTCACAGTGCCAGGGACCCGGGTTTGATTCCACCCTTGGGTGACTGTTTGTGTGGAGTTTGCACATTCTCATCGTGTCTTTGTGGGTTTTCGCCAGGTGCTCCAGTTTCCTCCCACAGTCCGAAGGTGTGCGGGTTAGGTGCCTTGACCATGCTAAATTGCCCATAGTGTCCAGGGGTGTGTAAGTTAGGTGGATTAGACATGGGAAGTGCAGGGTTACAGGGAAAAGGGTTGAGGATTGGGTCTGGATAGGATGCTCTTTGGAGGGGTGGTGTGAACTTATTGGGCCTATTGATCTGTTTCCACACTGTAGGGATTCCATGATTCTATGAGGTGCCAGAGTTATTCAGTTCATAGAACATAGAACAGTACAGCACAGTATAGGCCCTTCAGCCCACAATGTTGTGTCGACCTATTGTCCTACTCTAAGTTCAAACTACCCTGCATACCCTACATTTTATTATCATCCATGTGCCTATCCAAGAGTCACTTAAATGTCCCTAATGTACCTCACTCCAATACCACCGCCGGCAGCGCATTCCACATGCCCACCACTCTCTGTGTAAAGAACCTACCTCCGACATCTCCCCTATACCTTCCTCCAATCACCTTAAAATTATGCTCCCTCGTAATAATCATTTCCGCCCTGGGAAAAAGCCTCTGGCTATCCACTCTATCTACGCATCTCATCATCTTGTACACGTCTATCAAGTCATCTCTTATCCTTCTTCGCTCCAATGAGAAAAACCCTAGCTCCCTCAAACTTTCCTCATAAGAGCTGCCCTCCAGTCTAGGCAGCATCCTGGTAAATCTCCTCTGCACCCTCTCTAAAGCTTCCACATCCTTCCTATAATGAGGTAACCAGAACTGAACACAATATTCCAAGTGTGGTCTAATCAGAGTTTTATAGAGCTGCTGCATAACCTCACGGCTCTTAAACTCAACTCCCCTGCCACTGAAAGCTAACGCACGATACGCCTTCCCAACAACCCTATCAACTTGGGTAGCAACTTTGAAGGATCTGTGGACGTGGGCCCCAAGATCCCTCTGTTCCTCCACACTGCCGAGAATCCTGCCACAAACCCTGTATTCTGCATTCAAATTCGACCTTCCAAAATGAATCACTTCACACTTTTCTGGGTTGAATTCCATCTGCCACTTCTTTGCCCAGCTCTGCATCCTGCCAATGTCCCGTTGCAACCTACAACAGCCTTCCACACTGTCCACAGCTCCACCAATCTTCGTGTCATCGGCAAACTTACTAACCCACCCTTCCATTTCCTTATCCAAGTCATTTATAAAGATCACAAAGAGCAGGGGTCCCAGAACAGATCCCTGTGGAAGACCACTGGTCACCGAGCTCTCAGGCTGAACACTTTCCATCTACTACCATCCTCTGTCTTCTATTGGGACAGCCAATTCTGTATCCAGACAGCCAAATTTCCCTGAATCCCATGCCTCCTTACTTTCTGAATGTGCCTACCATGTGGAACCTTATCAAATGCCTTGCTAAAATCCATATACACCACATCCACTGCTCTGCCTTCATCAATGTGTTTTGTCACATCCTCAAAGAATTCAATAAGGCTTGTGAGGCATGACCTGCCCCTCACAAATTCATGCTGATTATTTCTCATCAAACTCTGCTTTTCCACATAATCATAAATACTACCTCTCAGAATCCTCTCCTGTTTCAATGGACTTTGGTCCTAGCCACTTTCAATAAAGTTTGAAGAGGACTTGAAGAGTCTGAAAATGATGTAGACAGGTTAAATGAGTCAGAAAGAAAGTTGGGAGATGGAAGTACAATGTGCGAAAATGTGAACCTGTCTACTTTGGCAGAAAGAATAGAAACACAGTATAATATTTAAATGGAGAGAGACTCCGTGACTAACATATGCTGCATGTTATTAGGAAGGCAAGTGGGAATTGGCCGTTTATTGCAAGGATAATAAAAGTAGAGATGTTGTTATTATGAAGTTGTGTAGCGTAATTGTGAATTGGAAGGCAGGAAGCTAGAATTTGTTTGTTAAAAAAAGAAGATAAGGGAGAAGAGTGTGTGGTTCCTTTGAAAGCTAAAGTGTTTTTCTAAGCTTAGAGATTTGTACAGAAAAGAAAATGTGTCTGTATGTTACAGGGACGGTACAATGGTACAGTAGTTAGCACTGCTGCCTCACAGCGCCAGGAGTTGGAGTTTGCTTATTCTCTCCGTGTCTGCGTGGGTTTCCTTCGGGTGCTCCGGTTTCCTCCCACAGTCCAAGGATGTGCAGGCTCGGTGGATTAGCCATGCTAAATTGCCCATAGTGTTCAGGGATGTGTAGATTAGATTAGGTGGGTTTATAGGGGGATGGGTCTGGGTGGGATGCTCTGAGAGTTGGTGTGGACTTGTTGGGCTGAAGGGCCTGTTTCCACACTTTAGGGATTCTGTGAGTTGTTATAAGTCATTGATGAGCTCACACTCAGAGTATTGTGTCCAGTTTTGGTCACCCTGTTATAGGAAATACGTAGTTAAACCTGAAAGTGTGCAAAGAAGATTTACGAGGATATTGCCAGGACTAGTGTGGGCCTGGGTTATAGGGAGAGGTTGGCCGGGATAGGACTTTATTCTTTGGAACGTAGGAGATTGAGGGAGACCTCATTGAGGTGTATAAAATCGTGAGGGGCATAGATGGGATGAATGCATATAGTCTTTTTCCCAGGGATGGGGAATTGAAAACTAGAGGGCATAGGTTTAAGGTGAGAGGGGAAAGATTTAAGAAGGACCAGCAGGGCAACTTCTTCAAACAGAGAGTGGTGCGTATATAGAATGTGCTACCAGAGAAAGTCGTTGAGGCAGGTACAATAGCAATACTTAAAAAATACTTGATAGGTACATGGATAGGAAGGGTTTAGAAGGATATGGGCCAAATGCAGGCAATTAGAATTAGCTGAGTGGGCACCATGGTCAGCATGAACCAATTTGGACCAAAGGGCCTGTTTCCATGTTATGTTACTTTATGACTCTATGTAGCTGAAAATGTACGCCAGTTCTGAAATTGAAACATGTATCAATTGGCTGTGTGATTGTAAACCTTAGGCTTGTTTTGATGTTTCGGCAACTAGCTGGAATCAGCCAATTAATTTAAACCAAGCACTTAGCGGTCTAAAACCAATTGAATTTAAATCTGATGGTTTTGACAACCTCAGACCAATGCTATTGCAAGAAAATTGATATGTGATTTCAAGGTATATAAGGAGAGGGTTTTTGAAAATCGGTGTGAGGGCGAATCACCCATTTGAGAAATAAGCATTTAGATCTCACAATAAATCACTAAGCTCTCCAAGAAAGCGCCATCTATCCATAAAAGGTACCACAGCACTTCTAGTTAAGAGTCCTTACAGAAGACTTCACACAGAAAACATCTCTGACAGCCGGATAAGCATAAAAAATGTGTTTATGACTTGAGAACAGCAGAAGAAAGGCATGTAGATTTTGAGAGAGTAAGTCTTAATTAATTTTCTTATTACTTGGGTTTATATAAGTGGGATTTGTGTTTGTTGGAACATCATACCAGTATAATTTAGTTTAGTTAGGGAATAGTTAGGTGGTAAGGGGGAATTGTTTGGTTTGTCAGTAATTCTGTTAATTTGTTCACTGTTAGGGTTAAATAAATAAATTGTTACTTATTACTTATAAGGAGAATCTCTGGGATTTTCTTTCATTTAATCACTTTTTGACAGATTATAAAGGCGAGGCGAGCTTCTCTGGGTATTTTGGGTTTTATTATTAGAAGGGAACCACAACTCCCACCAAAACAGATTGGGGTCTCATGTTTTGATTTTAATTATCCGAAGGTTTCGACCTCCTCTCCATAATATTGTGTTGCCAAAGCTGTACTGAGAATTAGTGGAGGCCACATTTCGAGTACTGTGTCCACTTTTAGTCTCCTTATCAAGGAAAGGATGTAAATAAGTTAGAAGCAGTTGACTTGACTGAGACCCGGGTTGA